AATAAAATATTTTTTGCACACAGCATGGGCATACTTAGAATTTCACAGCAAAACACATTCTGCTACTCCTTCTGAGTATGGCGATACCACATGTGTGAGATTGATTTTGTACTGAACATTGATTCTTGTGTACCACACAAATCAACCAGTTGTATAAAAAAAACATACTGTTATAGCCACCTCTATACAAGTGGTTAGAGAATAAAGCTTAGTGTAGCATCATCTATAGCAGTCCCCGTTCCTATAAGTCAGGGGTGCCCAATCTTTTGAGGAGCAAGGGCTATTCAAGTTTTCTGGGAACTAGTCGCCAGCCACAATGAAATGAAATGGTTCAGAATTTCATTTTATATTTTGAATGGCATAATAAACATTTTCCTCTTGCAGCCGCTGAATGCTGGTGGTAGGGAGAGGAGGAGAAGTTGGCTTTCAGCGGTTGCAGGAGGAAAATGGGGGGGATCGTTTGCTGTTTATGACACCCCTCCTGTCCAAGTGTAAAACAGAATGTAACAGGAAGGCCACACGGGCCCCCTGGAGCATGGGGTGGGGTCACCATTGCGACCCCTGCTGCTACACCAGTGGCTGGGGTTGTGTGGAAAAAACACATCTCAACTATTGGGTTTTACATTCCCCCAAACTTCAAATGTAAACAATCCCTTACTGTCCTGAAGCTCCCTATAATGCTGCCTTTACACTAATGGTTGCCCCGCACCGCAGGTGCAGCAGAATGAATCTGGGTATTTCCTGCAGGATAGCTGTGCTTTGCTATAGACTTCTATATTGAATATATGGTGCACGTTCTGAATGTGAATGCAGGAGTTTTGGTGCGCTTTCAGAAAGTGCACCAAACCTGCAGGATATGATAGAAGTGTGCCTGCAGGGAATTTCTTATTATTACAGTTCGAACTTTTGTCAAATTACAAACGGCGTCCGTAGGAATGCCCAGTCCACCCGGAGTCTCGGTACAGAACAGAGAAGGACTCCTTTGGAAAGGGGAGCAGATCCTGGTACCCAAGGAAGCTCAAACTCTGGTCCTGGACTACTGCCACGATCACCCGTTGGCAGGTCACTTTGGGGTGTTCAAGACATTAGAGCTGGTACAGCGCACATTCTGGTGGCCGTGTATGGCTAAGGACTGCAAGGCATACGTAAGAACCTGCACCATCTGTAATAGAAATAAGTCCACCAGAAACAAGGCTTGGGGCCTACTACGACCTTTACTAGTACCTGATAGACCATGGAGAATGATATCCATAGACTTCATAGTGGAACTTCCACCCTCCCAAGATCATACTGCTATCTTCGTGGTAGTGGACCGCCTATCAAAAAGGGCCCACTTCCTACCATTAAGGAATACACCTTCTGCTCCGGAGACTGCGCGGATCTTTATTAAGGAAATTGTAAGGCTCCATGGAGTGCCTAAAGATATTGTCTCTGATCGAGGGGTTCAATTCACTTCGAGGTTCTGGAAGGCATTATGCAAAACTTTAGAAATCAAATTGTCCTTTTCTTCTGCGTACCATCCGCAAACAAATGGGCAGACCGAGCCGACTAACCAAACCCTAGAACAATACCTCAGGTGTTACACTTCTTTTCTCCAGGATGACTGGCTGGCACTCTTGCCCTTAGCAGAATTTGCCTACAACAATGCGAGTCATTCAGCCACTAAGCAATCTCCGTTTTTTGCCAATTACGGGTTCCATCCTACCTTCCTACCTGATCTGATCCCGGAGATTTCGGTTCCTGCTGCTCAGGATACAATTAATTTTTTTTTCATCCAATAACAAGGTGTTGCAGGAGGTAGTTGCAAAGGCTCAGGAAGATAATAAGAGGGCCTTTGATAGAAGGAGAAGAGGGGAATTGATCTTGCACCCAGGAGACCAAGTCTGGTTGGCAACAACTAACCTGAAGATAGCGTGTCCATCAAGGAAATTGGCACCCAAGTTTGCGGGCCCATTCCGGGTAAGACGCAAGATTAATGATGTTGCTTATGAGCTAGCGCTCCCTGAATCCTTCAAAATACACCCAGTTTTTCACGTGTCTTTACTGAAGCCTGCAGCACCAGATCCCTTTCCTGATCGTAGGTCAAGACCCCCAGAGGCCATACACATTGATGGGGAAGAGGAATTTGAGGTCTAGGCAATCGTAGACTGCAGGAAAAGGAGGGGTCAGATGCAGTACCTCATTAAGTGGAAGGGTTATGGCCCGAAGGAAAATTCTTGGGAACCAGCTCAGAATGTCCATGCTACGAGACTAATTCAGGAATTTTTTTGTAACCATCCACAAAAGAGGAGTCAGTTGGGCATCCGGAGGCTGCCCATAAGGGGAAGGCAATGTCAGGGAACGAGAAGATCGCCAAGGCAAGACATACAGGCAGGCAGGCACTAGGACCCAGGTGCGCCTGCCGACGCCGGGTGGACTATTTGAACTGGCTTTTGCAATGCTCACATTCCGTACGGTCTTGTTCTCTGCTTATCCTGTTCCTGTGAGAGTGTCTTGTTGTTGCCGAACCCAGCCTGATCCTGAATGCTGCTGACCGTGTCCTGCCCTGACCCCTGGCTCATATTGACCATTCTTCTGCCTGTTCCTGATTGACCGACCTCCTGCTGCTGAACCTGGCCTGTGACCCGACTATTCTCTGCCTGCTGCTCTGTTCCGTTCTGCCTCCACTGTTACCGACCCGGCCTGTCTGACTCCGCTATTGCTTCACGGTGTGTTCCGTCCATCCATCCTGCACGGATCCATCCATTACTGTTGAGGCCTGCTCTGCCTCTTCACATCGGGCTCTTATCCAGCTACGTGCCACTGGCGGTTCCCTCTACTACAGCTGGGTGTACCCAGGGACCGCGACCTGGTCTCAGCCTGCTCCAAGTCCATCCCCACCACTCTGGTGAACAAGCAGACTGGGGCTTAGACTCTGCGCCCTGGGGAATCCCGGTCTGTGGATCCATAGAGCTACCATCAGTAGGTACATGACAGGGGCCCCATGATCCCCTATTGCCCAGGGGCCTCATGAGTTGTCAGTCCGTCCCTGGTCCGGTGACACTCTGGGTTAGTGTGGCAGCAATCAGTAACACTGCTGCTGACTTACACTAATCTGGTGACACTGGGACTGGTGTAGTGACACAGTTGCTGACTTACATTGGTCTGGTGATGCTGAGACTTGTGTGGCGGCGATGCGATAAGGAACACGGTTACTGGTATACACTGGTTTGGTGACACTGGGACTGGTGTAGTGACAATAAGGGACACAGTTGCTGACTTACATTGGTCTGGTGATGCTGTGACTTGTGTGGCAGTGATAAGGAACACAGTTACTGGTACACACTGGTCTGGTGACACTGGGACTGGCGTGGCCATGATCAGGAATACTAATATTGGCTGCAAGAGTCTGGTGTGGTGGCAATCAGGAACACTATTTCTAGCTGCACTATTTTTGGTGACACTGTAACTGGTGTGGTGGTGATCAGAGACACTGTAACTGGCTGCAGTATTAGGGCTTGTTAACACATGAGGGTTGGTGAGCAGTAAAACCTCATGGTTGAATTCACATTTTTACTGCCCCTCAACCGCTACCCCCATTTAGCTGCACAGGCAGCTGTCCGGGATGTACACATGCCATAGCTGTGATGCTTTGCTTACTCAACCACACTTCTACACTTCCTGTCAAATGCTCTCTGAAGAGTGATCCAAACATGGATCACCCTTAAAGAGAGCATCGCACATGTGAATGAGTCCTTATGGTGACACTTTGACTGATGTGGTGGTGATAAGGAACACTGTGACTGGTGTGGCAGTGATCTGGGACATTGTAACTGGTGTGGTGATTATGAACACGGTGACTGGTGCAGGGGTGATTAGGGACACTGCGACTGGCAGAGGAGTGATTGGGGAATTTGTGACTGGTGCAGCAGTGATTAGGGACTAACAGCACTGATCTGGTGACATTGTACCTCTGTGGCGGTGATCAGAGACAATGGCTGGTGGCACTGACATACAGTGATATCAGAGCAGGCAGTCATTGTATATATTCACAAACACAGCAGTACAGTGGGCACAAGTGTTGATCCCGGAGGACAAACCGGTACATCCTCCTGTTCTCATCACTCATTTCATTGGCTCTGTACCATGTGATCACTGTGACCAATCACAGAGATCGCAGTAGTAAACCACAGCTGTATGAATGAAAGCCTTTGTTTACCACTACTGTGATCACTGTAATTTGTCACAGTGATCACATTGTACAGGGGTAATGACATTAGCCCTGTACCTCGATCTGTGATCCACTGTGCCTTAGGGACACAGTGATTACAGATTGCGCCACTGCACAGCCTCGGGCCATTCACGAGTGGCGAGAGCAGGCGTACATACCAGTACATTATCCAGGATCAATTATTGTCCTGACCGTATACTATATATAAATGGCCGGGTAGGAAAAGGGTCAACCCTAGAGGATGTACCAGAAGCGGTTAAGGCATTGTTCAGATGTGGGAACAGATGGTTTTAGTGCAGAGAGCTTGGCACAAGACTGATATTTGAGCCTTTCATAAATAGCAGGAATGAAGTTTGGGTTCAGCACTATCATGGATTTGAGGCAAATCATGTGGGTTTGAAATTCACAGGTGCCATAAATATATGTGTAGATTCACCTGGCCAACTATGACCAGCAGGCTTAGAAGGGACAAAAAGAAGGGCTTCTGTTTAAAGAGGAGCTCTTGTCTTGATAACAAAAACACAAATACTGTAGCTGCTGATCTTTAACTAGTTGCCGACCGCAGATAGCCGAATGACGGCTTCACTGCGGCCGGCCAGTTCTGGGTGGACGTCATATGACGTCCCCCCAGAACGCGCTCCCCTGCGCGCCCCAGGGGGCGCGCACCCGGCGATCTCCGTGATCGCTGTGTCCTACGGACACAGCTGATCACATGATGTGGTAAAAGCCGATCCCAGCGGCCTTTTACCACGTGATCAGCGGTGTCCAATGACACGCTGATCACAGGGAAATGCAAGTGCCGGTTCTCGGCTGCACTTTCCTCACGCTGTCAGATCGTGAGGAAAGTACTGCCGAGAACCGGCAGTTGTCACAGCGGGGATCGGCACCGATCATCAGGACACTGATGATCAGTACCCTGATGATCGGTGCCCAGCAGTGCCACCCGCAAGTTCCGCCCACCTGTGCCCAGCAGTGCGTCCACTTGCTCCGCCCACCTGTGCCCAGCAGATCACCCACCTGTGCCCAGCAGTGCACCCACCTGTGCCCAGCAGTGCACCCACCTGTGCCACTCTGCAGTGTCACACACCTGTGCCCAGAAGTGCCACCCACCTGTGCCCACCCACCTGTGCCCACCAGTGCCACCTACCTGTGCCCACCCACCAGTGCTGCCCACCAGTGCAGCCCAGCAGTGCTGCCAGTCAGTGCCACCAGTCAGTGCCCAGGGGTTGTGCCAGTCAGTGCCGCCAGTCAGTGCCCAGCAGTGATGCCAGTCAGTGCCGTCTATCAGTACCCATCATCAGTGTCACCTATCAGTGCCGCCTATCAGTGCTGCATATTAGTGCCGCCTATCCGTGCCACCTCATTAGTACTGCCTATCAGTGCCCTTTAGTGCTGCCTATCAGTGCCCATCAGTGCCGCCTATCAGTGCCCACCAGTGCTGCCTCATCAACGCACATCAGTGAAGGAGAAAAAATACCTGTTTGAAAAAATTTTATAATAGAAACAAAGAAATTTTTTTTTTTTTCAAATTTTTTGCACTTTTTTTTATTTATAGCGCAAAAAGTAAAGTGCCCAGTGGCAATTAAATACCACCAAAAGAAAGCTCTATTTGTGAGAAAAAAAATTATCAAAATTTCATATGGGTACAATGTTGCATGACCGCGCAATTGTCAATCAAAGTGCGGCAGCGCTGAAAGCTGAAAATTGGCCTGGTAAGGAAGGGGGTATAAGTGCCTGGTAGGCAAGTGGTTAAGTCAGACAGTTACCAACCCAAGAATTCAGCATTGTCTTAATCAGTGCTGGTACTACGCTGGTCTTCAGGTACACGGTCTCGCTATGTTGACTGTGGAAAGCCAGCTGTGACTTCCTGCTGGCTCACAGCTGGCTCCACACTGCATTCGTGAGATGCACTGTCCATTCTGAATCTCACAGTGACTTGTCCCAGTCCTAATTTCTCATTCTTGTGACTTGTCCTATGCAGGGGTGGGCAGGCCACAGGAGGTTGTAGGAAGTGGAAACAGGTACTTTTCAAAGTAGGTACCCACTGCCAGAAAAGAAAAACGTTTACAGTGGGGGGCAAATAAGTGTAAATTCCCTTTTCAGACGAAGTTACACTTTAGGCCATCCCTTTCAATATAAAAGGGGGCAGAGAGCAGCCAAAATGTCAGTAAATTGGAACCTGTTCCAAGGAAAGCTATCAAACTGCAGTTTGCTGCTGATATGTCACCTCTATTCTCAAAGATCAGCAGGCAAGCTGGTACATGTAGCTCCACAGCTTTATCTTGCATGGTTCTGCTGTTATCCCACAAGACTTCTGTTCAAGACTGATTATCCACCTACTGTTTAGTCAGTTAGCCACATGGCCAGCCCAATCAGACCATCTCACTTCTATTTAAGCCTGGGTCATTCCCTCAGGCATGGCCTGAAAAAAAGCTAGTGTTCCCAGCACCAGGTCCCCCAGTGATTTTTAAGATGCTTCTTAGTTGAATTTTATAAGGGTTGGTGGCAAGAGGTTTCTCTGTTGGAGAATGCCTATTTTTCCCAAGATGGCAGACAGGAAATACACCTCAGTGACTCACGAAGTGCGCTTCAGAAATGCGATTAAAATTCATGGTCCAGAGGAATTTCATGGTAATGATTGTGCAAAAACGGTAATGGAGAAATTATTGATTTTATGTGATGTTGATGGTAAGATACTTATGTGCATGACAGAGTATCATAATTAAGGTGTCCTTGAAGTGGTGTTTGTGGAACACAAATTGTATCAAGATTTTAAAACAGCAATGAGTGATAAAAAGGAACAGCCATAAATAGCCAAATTTAAGGTGAAATTTCTGCACAGGACACCATGAGACATGGTTACTGTAATGGTGTAGAATCTATATGTCACAATTAGTCCACAGCTACTCTTTTCATTGCCTCGCCAACTGTCAGGGAGTCTGCTGATTTTTTTTTATAACTGACATTTTATTAAATTTTCTCAAGATAGACAAGATAATACAACATTTCAATTATAAAGGAATCTACATCAAGGCAGGAAGCAGCAATAGTGTATCAAAATGCTCCCAGAGACTAATCAGATAGGAAAAAAAGTTAAACTATGTTAAGAAAGTCCAGTATTGCAAATTCCACAGGGTGGAAGAGTACAATAATAAAGAAATACGTTTAAAAGTCCTTTAAGTAAAATAAAACTCGAGATAGTGAGATAGCTGGAACGATTATCTTGATATTAGATATTGAGGATAAAATGTAATACATCATCAACTATAGTTGACTTCAGGTTAAATATAGACAGGAATGGTAAAGAAATAAAAAGGTAGAGAGTAGAAACCTCTCAAGAAAGAGAGGGAAAGCTAAAAGAAAGGGGGAAAAAAGAAGAAATGATCTTCACCTTGAAAACCACCCATGGGGCCTGCACTTTCCCCTATCCACATGGCCGGTAACCCAAACCCAGCTACAGAGGTGTTGGAAGATAGTTCTATAGTATGCCACTGATCCCAAATCTTATTATATTTGTCCAGAGAGTCAATAAGAGAGGTAGTCAAATATTCCATGCTTTTGACATCCCAGATTCTTGTGTGGAATTCCACCAGAGAAGTAGGATTCACACATTTCCATTTCAGAGCAAATAGACACAGTAAGTACTGTATATGTACAGTAAGTACTGTATATGTGCCAAGAGTCTTTTGGATTATTTAGAAAAATTTTGGGGTGCCAACCCCAAAATGTATGTTTTAAGAGTGAAAGGAATCCAAGAGTCAAAAAGACAATCAATAAGAATGAACCTATTTCCAATAAAGTTTTGTAAGAGGGAAAAACTAATATACTGTCATGGCCAAAAAATATTGGAACCTCCGCATTTCTGTCAGATAATGCACCACTTTACTCTGAACATTGTTGCAATTACAAATGTTTAGGCATTCTCATGTTTATTTCTTTCTACTGATATGACACAAAAACGTGGAGAAACAAAAATCAAAATCTGACACATTCCACGCAAAGCCCCAAAAATGGACTGGACAAATTATTAGCACCCTCAATTTAATATTTGGTAGCACACCCCTTGGAATAAATTACTGAAATTAATTGCTTCCTGTAACCATCAATTAGCTTCTTACACATTTCTACTGGAATTTTGGACCACTCCACTTTCGCCAACTGCTCCAGGTCTCTCAGATTGGAAGGTTGCCTTTTCCCAACTGCTGTTTTGAGATCTCTCCACAGGTGCTCTATGGGATGGAGATCTGGACTCATTGCTGGCCATTTCAGTACTCTCCAACATTTTGTCTGAAACCATTTCTGGGTGCTTTTTGACGTGTGCTTTGGGTCATTGTCCTGCTGTAAGACCCATGACCTCTGACAGAGACCCAACTTTCTGACACTGGGCCCTACATTGCACCCCAGAATTCTTTGGTAGTCTTCAGATTTCATAATGTCATGCACACAGCCAAGGCATCCAGTGCCTGAAGCAGCAAAGCAACCCCCAAAACATCAGTGAACCTCCACCATGTTTGACTGTAGGGACTGTATTCTTTTCTTTAAAGGCCTCATTTCTTTTTCTGAAAACAGCAGAATGATGGGCTTTACCAAAAAGCTGTAATTTTGTTTTGTCTGTCCACAGCACATTCTCCCAAAAAGTTTTGGCAAATTCCAATCTGTTTTTTTTTTAAATGTTTCTGTGTCAACAGTGGGGTCCTCCTGGGTCTCCTACCCTTTTCATTTAGATGGAAACGTATAGTGTGAGCTAACACAGTTGTACCCTGTGCCTGAAAATCAGCTTGAATTTGCCTGGAAGTTGATCGAGGTTCTTTATCCACCATTCTAACAATCCTTCATTGTAATCTTTGGAATTTTTTTTTCTTCATTTTTTTGTGTCATACCAATACAAACAAAAGAAATAAACATGAGAATGGCTAAACATTTGCAATTGCAACAATTTTCTGGGTGAAGTGCTGTATTATCTGACATAAATGCAGGGGTGTCAATATTTTTGGCCATGACTGTATTTGCTGGATCGATACTAAGCTGTTCCTACATCTCCAGCATCTGTTCTTAGCAGAAGGATAGATGGTTCACAGTAACTCTGGTGTTTGATATCAATGGAAGAGAAGCTTATATTGGCTCACTTTATGTAAAGTACAAATGGAGCTTTAGAGGCTTGAAATCATATAGTTTGCCACATTTTGAAAGGTAACTCTTTACCCTCAATTTGCTCCCATTTCCTCAAATATAAGTGTTTGACAGTAGGCAGGAGAGGTAAAGAATTCACAATGTAATAGATCTGGGAAATCAGTCCCTTACTTGAAGGGATAGCTAGGCAGATTTTCTCAAACACTGTCAGTTCACAAAATTTTAGTTAAAGAATAAGGATAGTGGTGGATTTGTAAGTAACTGTAAAATGGCTGTATTCGGAGATTATGAGAATTTTGAAGGTCTTACGAGTTCTAGTTCAAACATCCACCAAGTGAAAAAAGTTGAATAGAACTTTACCTTTCCAGAAATTAGACATCTATGAGGTTCAGCTATTCAGTATATTGGGAGAAAATATAAAAGAGGTAACCAAAGATGTATTGGTCATAGGGGTTTATTGTTGTTTGGATCAACACCATAGGTCAGAGCAGACCACCATGCTATAAAACACAATAAGAATTATTAATTACAGTTCATTAAAATTAAATACAAGATGCATTTTACATCTAACTCCTACATAAACATGTATAATCATGCACATGTGAGTGAAAGCACAGTAAAAACATGCATTGTAATTTTAGTGCACTTTCAATGTGGAACCTTTGACTATAACGTAACAGCTTTTTCCAAGAAATGCACAAAAGATGCGGCAAGCAGGAATCGAAAAAGAGCAATGCCTTGTAATGTAATGCAAAAGCACTAACAGGAAAAATGCAAGAATGGAAACCATTTCATTGTGGCTTTGGGACACTGTAAAGGACTATATTACTTCAGTTACAACATATTGGTGTAAACAAGCCTTAAAAAGTACTGTGTGAAAATATTATTACCTAGTATCCATATCAATACTTACATTTCGCATGCTGTGATTTAGGGTGTCCTTGTAAAACAATACAGTGGGGTTTGAGGAATGCACAATGTAAGTGTACTGCACTGCAAGTACCGGTAGTCCTCCTTTGCAGCTGA